TCCTCTGGTCATTTCAAAGACTCAATCGTCGTTCCTCTTTTAGCAGAGATCCTTTCTGTCTCAGAGATATCAACGTGCCAATTTAAAATCAATTTATTTAGCGAAAGAAAATCAATCGGGGACACAGCAATTAAATAGAAAATAATTATTTTTATAATTAAATTTAATTTTTTACTGAACTGCGATTTTTACTTATAGAATAAATACGTCGAAAATATGTAATGATATCAGGATTGTGATTTATTAAAGCGAACATTCACGATTTATTAAAACAGATTTAAAACTAAATTGAATATAAAGGATATTTAAAACTAAATTGAATATGAAGTGATAATCAATTATTGTTAACGAATGGGACGTAGCAAATTGGTTCCCATTTTTGCATCTCTTTTTTTCGAAAAACGAGCTGAGATTGTGGAACTATTTTACCCAGTCACTATTGATCGAACCTGGGGGAAGCATGGGGTTACAGGCCAGTGGCGTCGAGCCCCGTTTACACCCCTCCTACCGTCCCCTAACTAAGCTGCACTCTATCATCCCAGCCTCGTGTCTCTTTCTGGAAAATCTAATTGTTTTTTAATAGAGATAGGAGCGCTAATAAAATAACATTTTATATACCGTTCTAAAATCGGATTTCGTGAGTTCACGGTTCACGGTATTCAGAATTTAATCATACACTGTCGAAACTTTCTTACAATTTGTCTATAGGGAATATTAAAAACTATTCGAGTTAATTTAGAGTCGTAACTCTCTGCCACTGATAAATTAATTCCCGGAACAACATTCATACATCACTGCATTTTAGACAATACAAACACTTGACCAACTTGTTATACAATACACTATTATGCCAAGCTAACAGTGCAGGTACATAACGATATGCGCGTATCAGTAGACATTCTACGCTTGTAATATTTCTCATAAAATATAAAATCGAAAACGAAATTGACCGACGAGCCATTGGCATTTTTTATCGTGGACACATGTGTGCCAATATATGAAGAGATGCGTAAGTATAGTATATAGAGTGTAATAATCCTCGGCGAACCGTGTCTATAAAAGACAGTCACAAAAGGCGTGGAGCAGTCAGTGTCGGTGGCGCGGGTTAACAAGATGACAACGTCGAAAACCGGGTCTTTGTTGCGTTTAAACGCGCAGGACGACGCGCTTCAAAGGACATCCGGTGATTGGCAGGATCGGGACACCGACTCGGAAATTAGCGAGAACGATTTTTTGACGAAGGGCGCGTTCCTGCTGACGCCCAGCCATGAGCTCAGCATAGAGAAAGCGGCCACCATTTGCGAAAAAATGAACTTCCGGTAAGCACCTCGGCACGTTAGCGACGATAGATGATATTAAAGATAATCGAGTATTTTTTAAATTAATTTATTGTTTATAATGTCAGTAATTTTATAATCAGTCAGTCAGTAAGCTTAGTTCATTGCAGAAACATTTAGTTATTAATTCTGTGATGATGGAGATATGAACATTTCATGATTGCACAGTGTAAAAGCATACGAGAATTTCTAATAATTCTTTTTCATAATCCCCGACTTGCAGGGTTAATTAAACGAAGTAACCAGAGTAAAATCTTAATTAAAGGTAACTGGAGGTCTAATTAACTCAGCCTTTTCGTAAAACGTGAGACAATATTGTCAAACTTCTGAATATGTATTTCTGCTTATAAATTTTACATGCGACTTCCAATCTCTAGATTTACCCAGTTAGTTTCTTGTTTTAATTGTTTTGTATACTTATTACTGAAATGGTTATATCCGGAATTTTAACGAGGTTCCCAGGTCTGTATCTCTGGCGTATCAATATACTCTTTCTAGTTAACGAAGGCAATAAAATTTTTCCCACGCGCTGTTCACATATTGTTCTTAAATGACTGATCGATCGATGTAAAAAGTGCAATTTTTTTGTTGAATTAATTCGATTGACGGCTATTGTCTCGATTCGACATCTCGTTACAAATTGGCAAAAAGTTATTCCATTAAGACCAATCAACGTAAATTAACGCCGACATTAATTAATTCGTCGAACGGTAGTTATAAAAACGGAAATGGGAAATAAAGAAAATAAAATGATATTTAATTGAGAACGCCGTGCCACAAAATCTCGTTAATTAAATCGAAAAGATTAAACCGCTTATGGTACCATCCACTGATTTTAATTAATCAAACAATGAAGTTTGTAGAATGCAAATTAGCGTTTTCAATTAAATATCAAAACGTTTAAAAGCAGAGTATAACTTCTGACTAATTGTTCAACGTTTCCGTTTAAGCATTAAACACAATAAATATACAAACAAAATATTAGCGTTTTTAATCATTTTATTATTTTAATTAATTTACTTTTTAATAATTGCAGTGACTGTAATTATTTGTCCCCATATATTTCATTCTAAAATATTTTTGTCAACTTTCATTACAGTGGAGCGTTCTCGTTGACGAAAACGGCCACGGGTATACTATTTAAGTTCAGCAATATTGAGGATTTTCAGGCAGTTTACAAAAAGGGATTTCACAAAGTTACCGGCGCGCGTTTTTACAAAAAGGTAATTATTAGTATTGCGGGCAGCAGTTTTATATTAAAACTGTGTCTACATCACGTGCAGGTCGCGATACCGTGTAGACCAGCAAAAACGTTCACCGTTTACGTGCTAGACGTGCCCGAGGAATTACCTGAAGAGGATATCCGACATGCTTTATACAAATACAGATCTATAGTCGAAGTCACGAGGCTACCACTGAACACTGGTACCGTTCGTAAGTTAGAAACATAATTTCATTTTGATAAGATTTAAATAGACAGTAGAATTTTATAAAATATTTATCATTTTAAAAAATAATTTAAATAAGAATATCTTTCGTCATATTACATGCATTTAAATGCATCAAGTCTAATAGTGAGACAACACGGTGTACGTAATTAATAAGATATAAACCTTGCAATAAGTGAATTTCATTTGTAAATAGATAAGGTAAAAAGCTTTTCTATGACGGTCTATTAAGGAGTCTTGGTTTGCATTGCATGCGCCTGCTCGAATCAGTGAGAGCGATAAACGAGAAGTTGAAAACGGACGCCCACACGCAAAACGAGCCGGCCACCATTTACACGGGACCACCGGTGATAAGGGTGACCCTAGCCAGCGTCGAGGAGACCTCAACCTTGCTAAGTCGCGGCTTAGATTTTTATGGGGCTACCTACTTCCCGACCGAAACCCCTTACGGCCACATCGTGGACCAACCGCTTGCTAAATACAAAAACAGCAGGTGGGATAATAAAATTTTATTCTATTCACTAAACGACAATTACCGAACTAAAACTAATGCTATTATTATGGAATGAATACCACGACAAAAGTGCTTATCTTTCATGCTGTTCTATAATTA